ATTTTTCTCAGTTTTAATGAGATCCTCACATGACATGCGGCCACCTTTACACAGGTATTTACTGTTGCCCTTATATTCTTCTGAGTAGTTACACCTGATGCTGACTCCACCTCCCTCATATCCTGTCACCTCAGTGGAGTTTGCATCACGCCAAGCTGTCAATCAAAGGAGAGGAGTTTAGTATTTAATACAAACTGGAATAAAGCGGCTTTCAGAGGCAGCACAGCGGTGCAGAGCGTCGCTTTGTTCACACTGAGGGTCACACACTCAGCACTCACCTCGCAGGAGGCAGACGACGGCAAGCAGGTACCTCATGCTGATCTGCGGCCCCCAGTTACCCCCCCGTCCCGCGGTAAATGTGTCTCACTCTCTGCCTCTGTCTTACTTCCTTCTGATTAATTACTCTCAGCCGCTTCTCACAGCACCTCTCCTATTGATGGTCTGCAGATGACGTCTGACAAACTGCAGCCTTATCCTCTTCCTTCCTCTCTCTCTTTCCCTGCCCTCCTCGCTCTTATTCACACGCCCCAATGCTGGGCTTATTGATACAGTGACACCTAGTGGTTGCACTGAGAATAGCAGTGCAGGTGAAAAGCTGTTTTCTGCACGTGGAGGTGGATCGGAAAGTCAAGCTACGAGTATTAAACTCCCACACTCAGGGGCGGATTAACGCACAGGCTAGATATGGCTTAAGCCTAGGGGCCCCACGTGTGCCAGCCTGCAAGGGGGCCCCCATTGGCGCGGAGCGGGGCTGGGTTGGGGGGCCCACAGACTACTGTAGCCTAGGGGCCTCCGTACACCTTAATCCGCCCCTGCCCACACTGCATAATTCTTTCTTTATTTTCTTCTATACTTTTCTTGCTTGTGAATGCCCCCATTCACTCTGTTCCAACCCTCTTGTGAGTTGTGAGTTTTCATAACCTGATCTGGACCCGTATTCACAAAGTATTTTATCTTACCCCTAAGAGTACTCATACATCGCACTAAAAGTTTTAAACTAAGACCTTTTTGCTAAAATCTATTCACAAAGTGACTGAGAGCAACTTTTAGTTAAGAGCCGACTCCTAAGCTGAGTGAGACTCCGTCGCTGTGGCTGACGTCAGTTCTCATGCACGAACTTGCCTGCAACAACCACGGCGATCGGTTGACATAAGAACATAAGAAATTTACAAACGAGAGGAGGCCATTCGGGCCATCAAGCTCGTTTGGGGAGAACTTAACTAATAGCTCAGAGTTGTTAAAATCGTATCTAGCTCTGATTTAAAGGAACCCAGGGTTTTAGCTTCCGCTACACTGACGAGTGGCCAGTATGTGCTGGGGAAAATGTATATGCAACATCCCATAAACACAAATACAGTGGAAACTATGGGCATCGTTAGGTCTGATCACTCAGAAATATAGCCCCGAGTATTTTAGTACCGATGCCAATCTTCCTTCAAAACAAAAAAAATAGGTCAAGCCCCAGGTTATCTTGACTTAGCCTGATCGTTTCAATAGCTAGAAACGCCCCTGGTGATCATGGTTATAGTGATCAACCGCTTATATGGATAAAAAAAAAGGTTGCTCTAAATTAAATCACTTGTAAATAATGTTTGGCATGGTGCATTTGTATTAAACAAACAAAATGTGTCAGACATTTCTTGCATTTTTTGCTAGACATTTGTTGCGGTACTTACTGGTTATAATTTTGTTGTTCTTCCTCCTGTGGTCTTTTGTAAGGAGTGAAAAGTCAGCACTTTATTAGGTATCCAGAATCACCCAGGAGATACAACATTCTGTACCTCACTGCGTGTTCACTGCTGGAATAAGGCACTGAAGCCACTTTCAGAAAGAATGCGGGCATCATGTGTGGAGTCTGGCCATTTTGGCACAGGGTCCAAAACTGCATGATTAGTATCAAACACAACGTGAACATTGATACTGTGATTTCTTGTTCTGTTACCATAAATATCTTCATGTACAGTTGGTGATATTAGGGGCACAGTGAAATCGGTGGCTCCAACATGCCAGGGAAGCCTGAAATCCTCATAACAGCAGCTTGCTTCTGCTGTATGGTTTGGGCGTCTGATGGAAAGGCAATGAACTGCCTCGTCATATTTGGTACCATCAGGGCCATCGGAGTACGATTTAGGGCCTACTTACTGTGGACTGTGATATACCAAAGTCATTTTTATTATTTGATTTTCTTTGTTTTGTCTTGTTTTTCGTGTGGCAATCTGTGCTTTCTTTATTTCTCTCCTAACTGAGGTGAATTCACAAGGAAAGAATGAAACGTGTGAGAGAGGTCCACAGGTAGAGAGGTCCACAGGCAGTGCTGCCTCATCGAGATGTTTCTCCTAAAATCTGACGTTGGTAACATTGAACCTTGGCTGAAACCGCACAACTTGAAGCAAAACGACAGTATGAGGCAGGGATATGACGATGAACTGGGCTCCTATTTATGTACAAACTCAAGTCACGAACCCTCAGTTCTCACTGAGACAGTCAAAAAGGGAAATAGCTTCCATTATTTTATTACTGTCATGCCTTTATAATCAGTTTCGTGAATAATGTTATTTCAGGTGCATACACTGCCACCTATTGACGCTTACATGTACTGTTACGTATTTGGCTCGAGAAGTTCAGTTACTCTCGGTCTAACGTGACAAAAGTGGTTTGTGGTTGTTAACGTTTGTGAGTAAATTCATTTTAAAGTGACTGTGAGTAAAACTGAAGTATATACAGTGAGTACAGAAGCCGAGAACGGATGTACTTGCAATTACAGATAATGAGATCATTTACTGTGGCAGCATAAGCTGTGTGTTTTAAAAGTACTTGCAGCTTATATGCAGTTTTACTCTACATTGATATTTAAGGGTCGCTCTCTATATCTGCCATGGTGTCGATGGAACAGTGTCAAGCGGTCAAGCGTAGCACATTTGGCTGACTACCCCCCTAGGTTTGTTTAGATTTGAATGTGTGTGTGAAGGTTTGTTAATGTCATATGTCAGTATTTATATTATCATATCATCTGCACATCTGTACGGTGATATCACATAGGATTTCCCCGGACCATGGTGCAGACAGGACATGATATGCACTTCACGGTAAATCTCCACGTAGCATCACAATATCCTTGGAATTTTTCAGAGAAAATTATCTCAAGATAAATGCAAAAAAAAAAAAATTGCAAGCACGTCATTCTCGGCTTCCATATAACCGTGTCAATTAAAATGCAGAAATTAAACGCATTAGGCTAATCAAATGTTTGTTAGGCTAGATGATGTACACTGGCTAACCATGCATCTTTGATTAAATATAAATTCATCAATGGCATAGGAGAGAATATTGGGGGGACACAGCTAAACTTACAACAAAGGTCTGTTCATTGGGGGGATACATGAAGCCAAGTCATTTATATTCATGTGTATATTATTTCTGTTTTTATATTTTCAGTTTTACAAGTCAAACCTGCACAGGCTTCAATAACAGCCCCATTCCCAAGGTCTGAAAAAAAGGAAGAATAAGGCAACAGGACTATGTTCAATAACTTTATTCTGTAAAATAAGCTATTTTTAACAATAATAATACACATGTATGATACAAAAACAATGACCTGGAAGTGAAGGATGGCCAGGTTTCAACCAGCTGACACTAAGCTGGCTTTCCATCCATCAGTGACTGCCAGCACTGGATCTTCCTGGATTTAAGGTTTAAAAAATAAAATAAAATCTGTAGGAGTCCAGGCAGCTAGCAGAGTCTTGGCCACTTTTGACTACTGCAGTAGTTACACTCAAAGTGTCAGAACTATCCAAAATATATGCAAGAACCAACAGATGTTGGAAAATAATTGTGTACCATGGGAAAGCTTGTGCCTAGTGCCGGAATGGAAGGAGCTCAAAGCAGCACTTCACTCTTCCCTCTAGTGCCCATGACTTGGCATTAACAGACGTTGGTCCATTACAGCTTCACAAGGAAGTGGTCTGGAGATCACTGTGATACTAAAAAACCATTTACAACTGTCACACTGCGCCTCAAATCCCCTCTATTGAAAAACATATCAAGAAGGTGAAAAAGCCAGCATAAGAGAGAAGATTAGTACTTTCAAGTCTGCAGTAAAGTAACCCTACACATCCCACAGGGGTGGGAGGGGCCTGTTCTCGTCCCTCTCATTTCAGAGGTACCATCGCCAACAAAGCCACCCTGGCCTAATGAGCTCCATGTTTGGCCTTCCCACTTAAACCATCCCCTACTGCCTAACAATCTGTATGTACAGCATTTTCTATTTTTTTTGGGGTGGGGGTTTTGAACCGGTCTAGTTAAAAGCCTCAGCCACGAGGGGCTGACATGAAGCTGATCAGCCGTGACCCCATCCAGTCTGCATCTCATACCCACCGTGACCATAAGTTCCTGTACGTCAAAGGCACCCCTGAGTCGCCCCAGGCGCCAACCTGCAGTCAGAGTCTTACTGTAAGACAGCCCTAAATGGAGACGCGCCGGATGCAGAGTGAGCAGCTGGGATCCTAAGAGTACAAGGGCATGGAGAGTGGACCACACGACTGCCTGACCAGGCCAAATCAAAGGGGCCATTCAAGAACCCAGGAGACCTGATGAATGGACACCATCATGGTGTCGACTCAAAGTAGTGTGCAGAGCGACTCGAGACCATGCAGCTGGGGACACAAATGTAATGTGGAACAGTTCTTCCAGCAGCACATTCTGGGGGAGAAGGGGATCCGAGGAATGTCAAGGATAATGGGGTTACGCACGGCTGAATAATGGGGGGGACTGTAAAGCCATGCACAGCATGTCCACCCCTTATCCCTGACCTCAGAAGTCTTACTGGGGAAAATGCGACAGACTCCCCCTGTAACCAGCCAGCTGGGCACTACCCTCAGGCTGGAAGCACCCGCTTCAGTGTCTCGCGTGTGCTTTGGTTCAGCTGGTCGGGGAACTTGATCTCGTACTCCACCACGAGGTCTCCTCGCCGCTCCGGGCACTTGGGCAGTGGCAGCCCCTCCCCGCTCATTGGCTTCCTCATCCCAGGGCGCACCACATCCTGGGTTGTCACAGTTACCGTCTGGCCATCCAGTGTGGGGACCTTGACTGTGCTGCCACACAACGCCTGGGGAATACGATGTGAAACATTAGTCACAATAGCAACACCGACCAAGAAATGAACATTGATTATAAAAATGACAACCATCATTAAGCCCGCTAACTCTAACATACATTACTGGTCTTCGCTGAAAAACAGGAAGCCAAGACAGAAACTGTGGGCCAGCTTTCACATTGCTGACTGCTCACAATGCAGGAGAAGATGCAGCTCACAGCTTCTCAGCACCTCTGCTCCACCTTATTTCCTGAACAGGAACCAAAGGCAGCCATGGCTCTACTCTTAAAAACCACATTGCTGCCATTCTGTAACCTAATGCTGACTCCATCACAGGAACTATGGCGCTACATGCATCTTGGAAGTTAAAGAGCTGCGTCTCTGAACCATCTGGGGGACAGAGGGCGCCTTCCTTACACAGATCTGCAGATTCACACACGCAGCATCAGTATTAAAAATACAAAGTGACTAAATACCACGGCATCCCCTGGTGACAAGACAAATACTCACATCTCTGAGGGAGATCTTGGCTGTGTAGATGATGTCCGAGCCGTCTCTGCGGAACACATTGTGCGGTTTGTCCTTCAGCACGAACACCACATCAGCGGGGATGTTGGTGGGCGTTTCATCACCCTCCTTGGGGAACGTGATCTTTGTACCTTCTTTCCAGCCCCGCTTGATCTCCACCGTCAGGATCTTGTCCTCTGTCCGTGTGGTGCGCCCATCTGGGTTCAGCCGCCGATGGGAGACCTTCATTTTCTTGGTGCAGCCCGAGAAGATCTCCTCCAGGGTCACCCGGAGCTCATGCACCACCGGCGGATCCTGCTTCTTCTCCAGGCCCCCACTCCTTGAGCCGAAAGACCTCCCAAACCCACCCATGCCAAAGCTGGCGAAAGGGTCGTCCACATCCATGTCCTCATCTGGACCCCCATTGCGGAAGAAGTGATCGAAGGGGTTACGCCCCCCGAAGAACTCTGTGAACATGGCGTGTGGGTCGCCATGGAAAGTGTAGTTGAAGCTGGTCCCGTTTGGACCGCCACCACCGGGACTTCCCTTAAGTCCTGAGGAAAAGTGAGAAGACAACGGCTAAGTGTCACGTCAGTCACCAGTACCTGCGCGCATGAATCAGCCGGAGCTTGTGGATTCAACAAGCGGCGGCGCGTTCCGGGAAGCTCGCCGTCATTCCTATTTGGGGCGTGACCCCGGAGTGACGCCTGTCAGAAACTTCCAGAACCCCCTGCACTGAATTCGGCTTCGGAAACGCAACTCGCCGCTTAGTTTCACCCTCAAACTTATAATTAGTATAATTAGAAGATCGGCGAACTTCAGGATTCATAAGAAACTTAACGGATTGTATGTATCTAACGTATCATCTAAAAACACATTTACCTTTTTGACACACGGGATATGAGTCACGTAAACCCGTTTAAAGGACAAAATAAACGGCTCCCTCGAATTTTCTGGAAAACCAACTCGGTAACGTTTAGAGACGCAACACTGTAAACTAGCGAGACCCGCCGTGATAAGTACTGCGCAAACTTCAGCCCATCCATGAGCCAGACACTCACCTTCTTCTCCGACGCGGTCGTACACGTCCCTCTTCTTGGGGTCGCTCAGGACGTCGTAGGCCTCGGCCACCTCCTTAAACTTCTCCTCAGCCCCCGGGGACTTGTTTTTGTCCGGGTGGTAGCGCAAAGCCTGCTTTCGGTATGCCTTCTTGATCTCGTCGTCGGACGCACCCTTGTGTATGCCCAGTACGCCGTAGTAATCCTTACCCATTTTTACCATCTAGATAACGTTAAACCCACCGTTCTCCTTCAAAGTCCCCTTATGACTCCGGTTCGCCTTTCGGTCCACAGTACAGATAAAGTCCTTTATTTACGTCGCCTCCGCTCCGTCGACTTTCGGTTAGTTTCGTGACTCAAAACTTACTACGCAGTTGAAATAACAAGCCACCCTCTGTGCTGATATATAGTTTTTATCCCGCTTTATTCTTCCGGTCTCTTTGAGAAATGAGACGCAACTCTGCAGATCTGAGCGTTGACTCGCGACAGCGCGCTTTTTGTATCGACGCAGAAAGTTCGAGAGCCCTCTCGCAGGATCGCGAGCATTCAGCACGCCCTGGCGCCCGCTGCCACGTCACGGGCGCGCCCCATTAGCCTCGCGCCGTCTGTTATCGGCGCAGTCACCTGTCAGCCTTTATGTGTGTTATGTACACAGGTCAGCACGTTATGGAGATAAATATACAAGTGGTTACGCTACAGAGATATAATATGCAGGCTCATCTCTTCCCACGATACGCTGCGCCTTACAAACTTTCTGTAGTGGTTCTCCTAAGGGTATGATTCCAAGTCTAAACATATACACTGGTCAGTGGTCACATATACTATAGAGTAGAAATATTGCATATCATCAATTGAACTTGCGCTTCAGTTGCGTAGACGCTATACGTTAAATGCTGACATGAAATATTAACACATAGCCTACATGATCGTACAGAACACATAAGTAAGAAATTGTACAAAATAAAACAATTCACGACGGTAGTATATAACTGGTTTAATTTCACGTGGTATTCTTACAAATCATTGCATCTTAAATCGTTATTTTAAATATTTAACAGAAATAAAAATTAAGATTGGTAAATGTTACTAACACTTAAAAGAAGCTCTGCTCTGTGCTAAATCTGAAACTGCCTCGTCTACTATGACCCTCTAGATACGAGTGGTAAATCGGACGTATTTTTAACAGGGCTCAAGAAATACGTCCTTGGCTGGCTAACTACGAGGGAAATTTTAGTAGCGCAATTACACAGCGCAGAATCAAAGAACAGAAAGGATACTACTTCACACCATACTGCGGGCTACTGTAACTCTGCATATCCGCATTACAGTGCTTAGGACGCCTGAGCTTCAACTCTCAATCCCTATTAGCCCAAATCCATCACTCCATATCGGGCCGCTGCACTCCGATTGGCTAAAAAAGAATTTCCTAGGACGCGCTTATTGGTTGTAAACAATATACAGATAGGTAACTTGCCGGACTTCCCTTCCCTTTTCCTATTGGACGAGCTCGAAGCTTTCCGCGCTCTCTGGTTGGACGTCTTGGCCGCGAGCCTAGGTACAGGAAAGGGAGTTTGTAGCAGCGAACATGAAGCATTACGAGGTAAGATGTTGTCGGCTGCGATTTGAGCAGTTGCGAGGTATAATTTCTGGTTTCAATTGATCATCCGTGAGGGATGAACGTGGGGATGTGCGGCTCACCGCAGGTTATCTGAGTAGTAATGCAGTGCGCCGTACTGAGCGGCGTTTGGCGGCCTGCCGTGGCCCTGCGTGAACGGGCGAAGTGCAATGAACAGAACACAGCGAAGCTCATCTGTACACGGCCTTGAGCCGGAGGCTATTAATGGCTTATTTAATTTCACTAGACAGGGCCCTGAAAGCAGCGCTGCTATCCCGGCCCGGCACCCTGACTACGCGGCTGTAGCAGGTGCTCTACGGGTCCATTCGTGCAACGCCGAAGTTTCTATGCGGGCGGGTGGTACCGGGCTCTTACGTGACATTTAATCTCGTTCATTGAATGAATTCGTGTCATTAAAACTCGTTCACTTTGCGATTGCATGCTATTTAACCCCTTTCAATGCCCGATATGCTTAGCTTGTGCTGTCTGTACCATTATTTTAACAGAGTGTTAGGGTCAGACTGTATTTGCGTACAACGCTTTGACCTAACAGTGCCACCGCATACTTCTGAATGTAACGGACTTTAACACCATTAAATAAAGTGAACCGTCTGATTGCAGCAAAATGTAGCGTCCGGAGAAGGCGTTGCAAGCCGTTCTTATGGACACTTGAGCGTTTATAAATATACCTTTCTCCATGTGTAACCTATACCACACCTCCTGCTCAATCCTGGAACCCCTCGTTCATTTAACAGTGAAACCAGCGGGGCCTGGAGATTCTGCAGATGGGGGCCCATCACGCGTGTCTTCGCTTTTTTCCTCTTATTTACTATTATTTAATCTTTCTTATGGCGGGGTCAGGCGGTGGTATCCATGGTGACGTCTTCTGGCATCTCCATCCTCCATCTATGATGGTTTAAGTCATTCAGGTACATTAATTAACTGATGGGGGAAAATTTTGACTAAATGCAGTTAATAGTCGTAAGTGTCATTTTTAATAGACAACTGGTTAATGACATAATGAGAAAGCATTCTTAAGCAGCAGCTACCAGAATCACGGATTTAAAGAATTTATTAATCCAATTATCTCTGTTTATGGTGATCTACAGGATTTTTTTTTTCGAGATAAGATCAATTTTATTGATCCCAAGTTGAAATTCTTGATTTTCATTGATTCATGGATCATGGTCAGCAGCTGCACTGTAACGTTTAGACATTCAACCCCACCCAGTACAAAAATAGCTAACAGTATATAAATACCTCAAGAAATAGGCAATACATCTGTAATAGTGCAATGAAAAGAACAACTTCTGCATTACAATTTCAAAAAGTGTACTGTGCAGCTGCACTGTATGTGGCTGCTTTGAATGCAGAAATTAGTGGTAACTGCCCACTAGGGGGCAGCTTTAACCCACCTGCCTCCGATAACTAATGTAAATCAGAGTAAATCTAATGCAAATCAGAGGTAGCTGTTTCTCCGAAGTAATCGTAACTGTTAATACTTTAAAACAGCGAAGTGTGTTTTCTTAATTGCCATCTAACAATGTAAAAGGTTGTAGTACCTAAAGAATTAGTATTATTTTTTTACATTCTGATTGTTCATGTTTGTCTCCTTTTTTGTGTTAGATATGTACCAGTATTTGTTTAATACTGTTTTTGATTATAGGACGTTTTTAAGACAGCATCAGAATGAACATATTCTACTTTGACCTAAACAAAACCACATAAGTTAATGACAAACTGACTAGTGTCCCATCCAGGCCGTACTGCTACTTGGTGCCTGGCATAGGCTCCGCAGACCCATGCATCCCTGTCCAGGATAAGCGTTTGAAAGATGCGTTACACATGTCACATTTATTTGTGTGCCTTTGGCATGAGGTTGAAGTTTATTATGTATTCTGTCTGAACAATCACAGTGACATAGTGACAAATTTGACCGGCTACAATTACGGATTCATACACCAGAGGGCACCCTGGTGATATACTCTGTTGTAACCCGTAAGTTACAGCTTACAAGCTGTTACTAGTTTGGCTTATGCAACAAGAATAACACAATTAATAACCTTTACAGCATGAAGTACTTAGAGATCTGGAAAACAAGCATGGAGTGTTATTGAATTGATAGCATCGATTTACAAAATGCAGTGGATGAAAGAGAGCACCCTTCGGTGTGAAATGCAGTGGATGAAAGAGAGCACCCTTCGGTGTGAAATGCAGTGGATGAAAGAGAGCACCCTTCGGTGTGAAATGCAGTGGATGAGAGAGAGCACCCTGTGGTGTGAAATGCAGTGGATGAGAGAGAGCACCCTGTGGTGTGAAATGCAGTGGATGAAAGAGAGCACCCTTCGGTGTGAAATGCAGTGGAAGCCCCAAAGTTTCAGGCAGAATGTCCTTTAGGCTAATGAGACAAAACTGGAGCTTTTTGGCCAGTCACATCAGCTCTATGTAGGATTGTCACAATATTGAAATTTCAAACTCGATACCGATACTAAGGATGGTGCTCAATACTCAATATTATTTTTGATAATACAGGTGGAGAAAAAACAAACACAGGAACTTCTGAGGATGGGCTTAAAAAAACAACTGAAGTGTAACTGCCATAAATGAAGATGCAGCTCTGCTGGTCCAGAGATCTGTTGTGCTGCAAAGTAGGGTTTTGACCAAAGTTGTGCCAGGATCATTTGCTTGGTGGTGGTGTAGAGTTGTGCAATTTCTGTGTACATGAAGTGGTTTCTGGAGGGTTCAGGAGGTGTAACATCTGTTGAAAGCCATGCTTTTCAACAGTGTAGACAGGGATCTGGTGCATACAAATTTACTCGGCAACAGCCCTGTTGAGCTTTGGTGCCTCTGGTGATTTGGCACTATATTTCCGCTGTTGTTCAAACAGTGCTGGTAGGGTCGGTTGTGTTTGTGGCTGTTTAGGTCTGGCTGCTGGTCCCTCTCTCTCAGACTTAGCCTGGGATTATAAGATATACATGATGATTGTCAGATACGAACAACGGAGTTTTATAGGTTTGGCACCATGGCCGAATAAACGAATGCAGGAAAGAAATGTATTTTAATATTTTTGAGCCAAACAAAAAAGCACACTCCTCGCTTCGCATGGCGCAGCAGGGAAAAATACATGCGCGTTGTGCAATTAGATAATTGTAAAACGCGGAGAGAAGTGAAGACATAGCCATTCTTATAGTTAACTTACTTCAACAGTATTGCTTGACAGTGGCACTTAAAATATTCACATTACGTTTGAACAACAACTTTACTCATCTCTCGAAACTCCGCGTATAATTCGGAGTGATGGTCTTTCAAATGCTTCGCTAAATTTATCGTGCTGCACGTTTTGGTTGCGACAACTTTGTAGCACTTCTTGCAAATGGGCTTGTCCACATCTTTTGGTTTTCCCTGTTCTTCTGGTTCATATGCGAAATATTTCCTGCCCGTGCTCTTGCTTTTTACATTCTCTATCAAGCTTGGTGCTGCAGATCTAAAGCTGGAGCTGCTTTCGTCCACTGCCATGTTTATAAAGTGTGTGTCTCATGTAAAACAATGGGTCCTCCAGGTAGCCGTTATCGGGGGAGAGGCTGCCCGCTGCAATGCCTGTTGAAAATTGTTGTAGTCTGCCGGTGATTTCCGTGAACCGGCAGATGGAAAACTGGCATTTAAGTATGATACCAGTGCTAATTGATATCGAACTCGATACTAAATTTTACTATGGATTAGTATCTGAGAATCGATTTTTTTTTTTGACAACATTAGCTCTATGTTTACAGAAGGAAAAATGAAGCTTTGAAAGAAAGGAACGCCATGCTTATTGTGAAACATGGAGGGGCTCGGTTTGGTTTGGGGCTGCTTTGCTGCATCTGGCATGGGGAACCTTGAATCTGTGCAGGGCACAATGAAGTCTCAAGACTACCAAGGCATCCTGGAGTGAAACATACTGCTCAGTGTCAGGAAGCTCAACCTGAGTCGCAGGTCATGGGTCCTCCAACAGGA